GATTTTCTTCCATACACTTAAAAGTGAGAGCTATACTGCATGAATCCGCAATTGCTGGCCATGGCAGTAGGAGGATTACTGCTTACGATGTAGTTTATTCCTTAAATTATGTTTTGTTGTGCTGTTCTAGGAGACTTATCATCCTGCAGCAAGATACAGCGTTTATTCATGGACAATAACCAGCTGATTAACACTAAGGTAATGTGAAGGTCAAAATGTTAAAGCCCACCGATTTATAGTCGGTCAGTTCATATTGTTCTTAGCCTGTTTCAGGCGTTCAGATTATGGGGACGGCCGAAGAGCGCGGTATGACCAGGAAAACCCAGTAAGGGGTGGGGTAGGGGGTAAAAAATTGGCTATGTTTTTCTGTGCTGACTAACTTGGTTACATAGCTGTGCATGTGAGTCAGTACACTTCCTCAAGTCGACCTCTCATGAGTTCTTAAAAGTGAGTGAAGCGAGCTTCAATGTATGAGTCTCGAGGTCGACTTGTTTCGACGGAATGAATTTGAATCACATTATAAATTCATGCGGGAAAAAAAAGGTTGACATATGCTGTGTCGGAAGTGGTTTGAAATATCACTGTCTGTCCTATTGAACAATTGTCATGACGTCACCGGTAGAATTTCTCACCGCTGAATTACGCGTCAAACAGATATGAAAAGTCCTTTAAAATGGCATAACCAACTAGAAAAAAAGATAATAAAAATGAAGGACTTTTAGAAAGTCTAGTGACTCAGATACGGCGTATTGAATGGCCATGATTTTAATGTAAAAACAATAAATTCTATGTTAAAACCAAGGTATTACTATTGGTTCAATTTTTTCCACCACAGGGTTTATCCTGCCTTACGAATTTGCAACATCTCAGCCTTGCACACAATCATCTGTCCCGCGTTTATGATATAGATAAGGCCATGCTGCTTCAAACTTTGAATCTTCAAGCTAATAATTTGCAAGAGGTAAGTTCAAGTTGATATTGTTGTTCATTGATTTTGGTATGGATGACCTTGTAATCACCATTGTCATAGCTGTCATCTTCATCATCAATTTGGATGCCCTTGATGAGGCTGGTTCTCGCCCGCCGCAAATCTACCTGCGTTATAGCTGCCCGTTTCTCGGCAGTGTAACAACGAAATTTTATAACGCCTTGTGAACTTGAATATGGTCCCTTGAAGTTCAAATTCAGGAGGGAAGACTGAAATACTGAAAGAACGCAAATTCACTTCTGAAGGGACGTTCTCGTTGCTGTCGCGTCGTTGGATCTTAAAGTCCCTAATAGGGAGCTTAAACAACTACGAAGGCGACGGTTAACGGGAACGTCAAAAGAGCAGCTGTAAGTTTGATAAATATACAACAACAACTCTAAACAAACATCACGCTTTTCGGTACATTTCTTTGTCGTCAGTGCACGACCGTGACCTCTCGCGAAATATTCTAATGCGATGTTTCGTGGAGGACGTAAAACACCACGGCAATTTTTTTCTTTCTTTTTCTAAAATTTGTTTCGGATCGTAAGGGTGCTGCTCGGGGACAATTTACCCTCATTTGGTGAATTAGGAAGTTGGAATAATCGCAAAATATGAAAGAACAGAAATACCCTTTTAAAGCGGCGTTTTCACTGCCGTCGCCGTTGTGGTTTCTTAACATATCACAGTTACTGTGATTTGATCATCACTTTTAACTTCGCTCTGATATTAATTCATGGTGATAATCAGTGTCGTTTGAATAATTATTATCCTCATCGTTAACTTTGTCTTTTCCTCTTTATCACTATCGGCACCACTGATATATGTTATGGTTTAACTTTATACTTCGTCTTGGCTTAGAATTTGTTTCCCTTTGTTTTGGGGTATGGTAATGTATGATAATGAGTTTAAAACAAAGGAAAATAAAATTTAAACCAAGGATGAAATTGAACCACAACAGATATACCTTGAAACGTTCAACGCATGAGGGCTCGAGTTAGGTTTGTTATCCTTTGGTTGCCAAAACGTTTTCGATCTGGTCTCTTACAGCCTCCTCAGCTAACAAACTGTGTCTTGTTGAGGGAGCTCAAACTCGATGATAACAGCATTTCTTCCCTGGATTCCTTGTCAAGTGCTTGGCTTCCGTTGCTTCGTTGTCTTAGCGTCAGTCAAAACAGGTGTGTCTGCTTATATCCGTATTCCATGCTTAACTGAGAAGAAGCACTTATGTGAAGTGGGGGAGGGCGGGGGCGCTTGTTTAATTTAGCAAAAACGATGGTATCAGTTCTCCATGAAGAACTAGAATACAAAGTGGAGAAGCTCAAGTACAAGAGGTTGGAGGTCATGCAACCAATGATCAAAAACAAATCCGAACTTTCAGCTGGCAAATAAACCGTCCTGGATCAGGCCACACCAAGTTTCACAGTCGTGATTGATTAATACAGTCTATCATGACTATCATTGATTAGTAAATACTGTAATGATAAGGATGAAGAGGGGGGAGGGGGCTTATAGAGATGGGGGGGCTTATTAGACTGTTCACAGTTCTCTATTTTTCCGTAAGATCGTGGAGATCGAGCGCTTTGCGTTACTTACTGCCATCTTCAGTGAGTGTCAAAAATACTTAGGGGGCGGAGGGCGGTTTGGGAGGAAGCGAGAAAAATTGTTCCCCCCCCTCCCACTAGGGCTATGATGCCCGACGCCCGCCCCCTCGGTACATGTGAAAATCAAGATGGCCGTCATTGACGGTAAGACGCGCTATATTTAAACGATTACACGAAAAAATAGGGGACTCACTGCGAATAGTCTAGGGGCTTATTAACTTTCTTCCACTGAAAAGGGAGGACTTTCTTGAGAGATAAGGCTTATTTGAGAGGGGGGATTAATAGAGGGATTTACGGTACTTGATGTTGTTCTGCTTCTCCTGAGTACTCAGAAGTGTTGATTTTATTCTTATTCTTTACTTGCATACATTATTGTTTACTCAATTATTTCTGGTATTTAATTTGTACCTTTGAGTATTGTATACGTATATATTGATGATTGTTGCATTTAGTATTTAACTATAATTGCTGAGATATCTGTAGAGATTTTACCGATGAAATAAATGTAGATCATGTAGATGCTCTACGAGCGAGCCTGTCCTGAAAATCAACCTATTCTCACTAAAACACTGTCTATATATCTTTCATCTACCATGTGTTGTGTTCATGTCTAATTAAGTTTATTACCACTAGCTCGCTGTTATTAGGTCCTAGGTTCAACAGTTACCTTGTCAAACTTGACAACATCCTCACCTGGGTAGAAAGCGTCATAAGAAGCGCATGTATTTAACAAATGTAGAATGTTCAAAACTCAACTGAAACCGTGCGCGGCGTGGGGGTTGTCTCAGTCCAACATTTTTGGTTTATTAGAGTGTAAGCAATGCAAAATTGATGTCTTTGCGTCTTTTTTTTTTACAATAGCACCGAAATTTAACATCTGTTTCCGGTCCGGCGAAGTATCTTGGACAATAGCGTGCGAGAGACGAAAACAAATTAGGCAATCATTACGTCATTTCCATGTTCTCTTCTCTGCTAGACTAAAGCTTTCAACCAATGAGGATGAGAAATCACTCAGTTATGTTGAAAATACATATGGGCTGTAATGGGCCGGACCTTTGAGTGTCTGTTTAAATCTGTACTGTCACAGTTAACCGCTGAATGTATTGTGGTTTTTGCATACAGTATTTCCCAGTTATCTCCTCTTGGTAACTTGATCATGTTGGATTCTTTGGATATCAGCAATAATCTTATATCAGGTATGAAACTGGCATGCATTGAAGCAAGACAGTAGATCGTTTTCATATGACGTCATGGCGACCATATTGGTGTACAAAACGATGAAATGGTAGCCATTAGGGTGTATTTTTAGTACACCCCTTCCTCTCAATCCCCTACCTCTTTCGACGCCTGCTACGCAGACTAACCAATAAAATGCTGTGATGATTGAACTCTTTTCTCATGTAAAATATTCTTTTGTTACGAGAAATTTGCATAGCCGTTGATCACCTGACAACAAATAACAGCAACTGAAAGTTAATCGGTAACCCTTCCACTCTCAAAGATTGTCTTGGAATCATGTGACAGACTTGTACCTTTTGTGCCTGTGAACAAAATCCCATGTAGTTTCACTTTTTGTTGCTGTATGGAATGTTTCTTTTTGATGTTGTTGTTGTCTTGAGGCCATTACTTGTAAAAGCGCTAAAAATAATCAATAGTGCTTCGCACGTTAAAAAAGGTATTAAATGAAAAAAAAAATGAAAAAAGTTCCGTGGAAAGCATGTAGTAAAAATGATCACCAAACTCTCTAGGACCACTGGAGTAAAAAATAGAAAAATGGAGTGAATCAGCTTTTGATAAAAAAACTTTTTTGCCGTTACCATTTTTTAACGTCTTACCGTTATGATTTGACGATTATATTCAGTGAGTCTTCGTTTTGGACTACATAACATACCTCGGGAAGCGATGGGCAAGGACGACGACCATTTACACTAAGGGTCGTGCTTAAGTCCTGTTGCTCTAGGCAATCTTCGGTGTAATTTTTTAAGTGCGTTTTTTTGGGTGAGTAGGGAGCGGAGAAAGGCGTGCCCTAGAATTGTGAAATTCTCACAGTCACGGCGACGGCGTAATGGTGGAGCGTGGGAGACCCCACCCCCACGTGGACCTTTTTCCTTCTGCTCATCCTCTTGATCGCACTTTTTGCTTACATCGACCTTCCTCTTCTTTCAAAATCCAAGATGTTCACGGCAGAAACTGTGTGACAAGTTGTAAGAACCATTCCCAAAGTGTAACAGGGTATTAGGCGTTATATTAGAGAGCTTAAGCAGGAACGTTTTTGAGCGAGGCACATCAACCAGATGTGAGCTTTTTTTCTCTTCAATATGCCTTGACGCCACCAATTTTGTATGGCTAAGTGTCTTTACTCTTTTAGAGACTATTTGCCCAAAAACCTGTTCAAAATAATGGCTCAAGTGTGCAAAAAACAAACATTATGATGAGAAGATGGAATCATAATGTCATTTTATTTCGAGGCATTTCCCGTTTCTTATCAGCAGTGTGCAGGCGGTGGTTCCCTGGCCAATCAGGAGATCGAACGTGTTTAGTGCTGTATAAAAGACTTGTTATGTGTTTCGCACGGCCCTTCCAACTATTACCATCAGCCTGTACTAGTGACATCCCTTTGACGCTAAGTTGAAAATTTTTCCCACCACCCCCCCAGTCTCCGACCTGCCACCGTCTACATCTTCTTTTAGTTTTATCGTCTTTAGTTTGTCGCAAGTATTTGCTAATTTGTGGCGGATTTTTGTCCCCACCTTTCCTGAAGAGATGTTAATTAGTTAGTTCTATCATTGGTTTCAATTAAAAACGTCACGCTTGTGGCCATTTATCCCAAACAGTTGAGATTCTTGCTCGGGTCATCTCTTCAGCAAACCAGTGCGCCACCATGCGGAGCTCTCGATCGTTTTCGTAAATTCGGTTTGGGAAGACTCGCAATAAAAGTCCACTTCCGATTGACGTGCTTTGCTTAAAAACGTCGCTGCTTAAACTCCCTATTTGATTGTTATCAACGTAGAAATTAAAGGAAACAAAGCCTCATGTGGGGCTTGATTGTATTTTTTTGTTCTGTTTTGTTTTTAGAAAATCTTAAGTGACGTTATATATATGTTTTCAGACACAGATAGCCTTATTCCAGGACTTCAAGGTTGTAACAGGTTGAAAACATTAAAGATCGAAGGAAACCCCGTACATGAAGATCCAGATTGCAGGTAACAGTAGCGAGAATACTATTTGAAAAACTTTGTTTCGTAATTTTTGTTGAAGGGGCTATAATCATGGTTCGCACGGGCCTGGAATACTCCTTGAAAAACTGTTAGGTCCTTGAAAACTCCTTGAAAATGATTTTCTCCTTGAAAACTCCTTGAATTTGAAGAAGCAGTGCTTGAATTTTATGCAAAAGTCCTTGATTATTGAGGATACAGCAAAATAAGTTAATTTTGACATCAAAAGACTGAAAATATTGCGTTAACATCTAACATCAGTTGAGAAACGCATTTATCGTCTCAAAAACGGCGAAGCTTTTTGTAGCAGGACAATTCAGTGGTTCTTATTCAAAGTATCTAAGTAACCGCACCTTCAATGGGGTTTCCTAGGTGTATTCTACAGCCCCCCTCTAAGCAAATTAAACCACGAGGGAAATGTAGCTCAAATCTAAAAGTGTGAAATTTATTCGACTCTGGTCCTGTTTATTGTGTCTTAAATGAATTCAAAAGGTAAAAGAGGAGACTGCATTTACAATCGGCGGTGGGAACTTGATGAAGTCAAAAAGAAGAAGAAGTGAATTGATGCTGAAATAAAGTCACTCAATGACACAGCCGATGAACTTTGTACCAAAGCAGAGGCTACTGCTAAGTTAACATTTGTCACTCAGGCGAATGCTTTGAGGCGATCTGCAAAGGACAAACTTAATGATCTTGTTTCCTTAGACAAAAAATTAAGTTCCATGCTGGAAAAGCTGAAGGAATGATTCTATAGAATCCTATCCTTTGGTTGTACCACATTATTTGTTCTTACAGGAATTGCTTTTTTGGAGTGACTGTAGAAAAAATGTGATATCGTGCCTGTGGAAATGGACTCCTTGAATATTATTAAAAGTCCTTCAAAAGTCCTGGAAAAGTCCTTGAATAAATGGTCATCAAACCTGTATGAACCATGATAATGTAAGGCCTAAATGTTATAAACGACCCTAAATGTAATAACATTTTGTCCTAATTGTGATAAAGTCCTGACTGTAATAACGTTAGGCCTTAAATGTAATAAACTCTCAAATAACCGCCGCCCGCGAACACGCGTCGCACTCTAGGTGTACAATAAAAAATATTAATAACATTAATATTTAGTAGTATAATCGCTTACTTGCTATTAAATCGGATTTAATTTTAGCCTGTATTCTGTCCTCTTTGTGCGATAAACGCTACATTACATAAAAGTTCATAAAAAGCTCCTTACTTCAACCTTGCCATGTTTTATTCATGAATTTTGGTACAGTTTTTTAATATCCTTCGGAATTAAGTGCATTCAACAGTGTGTTGATGACATCACGTTTATTTTGGCATATGACTTATGTCTCGCATTAGTCACGTGGTTGTTGTAATCAGTTGGTCATGATGTTTAAAATGATTTATCAAAGCTGTAACATTAAGACCCATCTCAAAATTTGGTGAAACATAAAAGGGATCGCTAAAAACATTATAAGGAGGTATTAATTTTATAGCAAACACAAACGTAGGCATGGATGGACAAGCTTAAAGAAGATTAAGACGGATTGAAATTGTGGGTTTTTGAAAATTTGTTAGCCTAAGAGTATATCATACTTTATTTTCTTTGTTTGTAATGTTTGATTTGATACAATATTGGTAAGTATATTTCAAATGGAGAAGGTACTGTAATTCTGTCGTTTACGAGTGATTTATTTGTTAATAAAAGATCCATAATGTATAAGAAAGCGCGCCGTATTTACTCGGATAAGCGCCGCGGCGCTTATTTGAGGGTAGCGTTTATTTTCAAGAAAGTTCGACGCGACAAAGAATTGTATAAACTATGGTATTATTACTTTCCATATTTAACTAACAGAATTAACGTCTTTTTATTTGATTTTATTATTCGTTCAAAATATTTCTCCGTTTCTGATTGGCTAAAATAACACGCATATTCCTGGTAACCAGCTACTGTTGCCCAAATTTGGAAGAATTTTGCAATATTGAACCGATGACGTCAAAAGTGCAGCAAAGTTGCAGATTATTGAAACTTTAACCGAGAAGACCTGGGGACGAGGTTGAGTAATTTCGGTAGTGAACGTTTCAGTCGTTTCCGAGGTAGAAGTAGGCGAACTTTTGGCTAAAAACATAGCAAGAACAGCGAGAAGACAACACAAACGACGACATCTGCTATTTGGAGAATATTTGTGGAGTTGAACAACCCTCTATCTCTCGATTAACGTGCGCTATCGAAGATGAACTTAACGTCGGTGATGGTAAGCCTGTCTTAGCTTGTTTTTAAAGGCGAATCTGAAGAAGGTATGAAGGATTGTAGACACACTGAATTCTGCAAAGCTGATCGTACTACGTGAAAATTAACTTTGCAAGGCATCAACACGACCTAGAAAGAACCAAAAAAAAGAGCGTGGTCTCAGCCGTAGAAGGCTGTTTCGCCCTTTTGGCAGCTCTTCAGTACGGCGCAACGAACAGAGATGCTCTGCTGTAAACTTCCGCACACTCTGTGTTAAAGCCCAAACATTGAAGGATTATACTCAGATTTTCCCTTAAAACTAGGGGCCCCACGTTTTTCAAGTTTGCCTCCTCGTAAGTAATGAAAGTAAGTCAAATCATTAAAGATACCATTACCTACGTCATTTTATTCTTTTGAAAACGTGTTTCAGTGCATTGGTATTGGAACAATTGTCATGTCTTAGATGGCTGGATGGCGAGAATCTCTCCGGAAAAGGACAGGTATGATTACTGTAGAGATCATATTACAGTTTAGCCTGCGTGGCCAAAAAAAAGCGCGAAAGCGGGGAAAAGGAAAGTGAGTCCCGTTCTCTCTCTCCCCAATCCCCCTCCCTTTTCCCCTCCTCCCTATCCCTTACCCCTTTCGACGCCTGCTACTCAGGCTAATTAGAGTTTGCCACAATTTAGTTTGTGCCGCGTGTGCGAAAAATTTTGAAGGCTGGAAACTTCTTCTCCTCTATTTTCTGTGAACGGTTTTTCTTGTTGTTTGCCTCACGATGGTTACGTTTTACCGATGGCGACCTTTTGACCGCCTACTCTACTCTTTCCTCTGTTTCCTGCAAACAATTGTCTATCGTTTGCCTCACGATCGTCTCTTTGTAATTGATGGCGACCTTTTGACTACTGGTCTTCATCAGCCAATGGTGTTGATTGGATGTGCGGAACTACCAGGGACTATCATCACCATACCGTCGCGATCAGTAACAAAGTGACCATCGTGGGACAAAGGATAAACAAACCTATCAGAAAAAAAAACGGCCGAGGTGTGAGAGAGGAACGGTTAACACCTCGAATTTCGAGTCTGTCGACTAGGTTCAAGCCTTGCCGTCACTTTGTCAGACTTGCCACAAGTCGACTGCGTGAGCGCCGAAGGCGCGAGCCAGGGACGCTCGAGAAGCGACCGAAAGCGAGCGACGAAGTCGCACTAGCAGAAAGCGGAAGCGGGCTTTCAGCCGACTGACCACCTAACCAGCAGAAACCGGAAACGGTTTCAAACGGGCTTGAGAAAGTCTATCTCTTTGTTTCCTTATCCACAATACTTTGCGCCGTTTTGTCTCTCTTCAGCCAGGTGTACGTACTGCTGGGGGTAAGACTGCAATGAACTGGCGTAAAGATGAATGACACTTTTCTTGCATTTCATTTTATTTTATTTGGAGTATCTGAGCTCGTACGAGATCGTATAGGAATACATTTGGACGAAGAACAGGTTTTTTCAGTAAGCCATAAAATGTGACGAAACCTAACCTATTACTTAAGTTTTTTTGAGACTCCATACTCCAAAAGATACTTTCTTGGAAAGCCTTTTATTGTTTCCTCCTTGTGTTGTACAAAAAATAGTAACGTGGAATTACTACGTGTTAAGAAACAATAAACATTCTTTTTACTTGACAAGTGTGAACTAAATCAAAAGGCTTTCATTTTATTGAGTTAGAATGATGTCTTTCCTGAAAATGAGATGACGAAAATTCCATCATACCGGCCATGTACAAAGCAATAACACAGAAATGAGTGAAAGAGTTTGATACTTATACAGTCTAAACCGGCAAAAGTCAGTATAGTAGCCTGTGTACAGTCGTCGTCCCTCCCTCAGAAAAAATCGGGAGAGGAGACGTCTGTGAATCGCCGACGATAATCGTGTTCCCGTTTCCCTGGAATGTTGGGGACAGCCTCTGATTGGTTGTAATGTTAATGCCACAACGCAAATAATT